GTTGCTTTGACAGATTGGGGTTATATGGCTGAAGCTGACCCATGCAGCTCCCTGCCCCTTCCCCCTCCTGGCAGGCAGATGAAGCATTTATGATTGCAAGTGGCTAGCTGTATTTTATGTTTTTATGTATTTTTTATGTATTTTAGCAGGTTCTTTATCTGATGGAAGGCCACCACAGTAATCAAAAAAGGATTTGTTACATATTTTGCTTTTCCTGGAAGGAATGCTTGAAAGCTCAGTAAAGAACCTATAAAAATTAAAAATTTGAAAAAAAGAAAAAAATTGGCGACGTGGGAGGAAGCATTTAAGCACAGGAAAGAATAGGGAATTGCACAGTCAAATAAGCAGTTCTTGGCAGAATTTGGAGACCAGCAGCAGAAAGAAGGATGCATTGGCATGTAAAAAAGAGTGGAAATTAACTGAAGAGAAATGGTAGCATCATATTTAGAATCTGTCACTTTATCAGAATTATCTTGACTGGTTATTAGCAAAAGAGAAGGAATTGAGTTTTTAGAGGAAGAAGGGTTTCATTTCCCCTTCATTAGCTGAGGAACCTGCTGACAGGAATTAAGACAGAATATTGCTAAATGGCAGCTTCAGCCACGCAACAAAGGGTTATTTTTAACCCCAAGCTGCTCAGTGACTGCATTTGCAGCATGGCCCTGCTTAAAAAGAAAAAAAACAAAAACCAAAACTCTGCTAGCAAAACTAAGGCTGCTTTGTGCTGCTTTGTGAGAATGGGAAGGAGAGGTCTGGGTGGGAATCCTGTAGGGCAGTGGTGCCTCTGACACCCGTGTCATGAAAATATGCCTCCAGTTAACCATTGTCCTCTGACCTCAATCCATGCTGAAACAGGGGCTTTGCATAATCCTGCAAGGAGGCAGCTCCTGCTCCAAAAGATGTTATGTTTTGAATTTCCAAAACAGACAAAGGAGGCATTGTCAGCCCTTCACACATGGGAAACAGAGGCAGGCAGAGAGAGATTTATCTGGGGCAAGCGGGCTAATTTTGATAGAATGGGCACTTGAAGTGAAGTTTCCTGAATTCATTTGTGTATTATAACCACGAGGCTGGCCTTCCTTTCTAAAGCTGGATTTTGTTCTTCCTGGCACTTCAGTTCAGGTACAGGGTTGTTGATCAAAACCATTCTTTTTGTTCGGTTCTGTTTAATAAGTATTAACATTTTTTTGGGCGCAGTGCACTTACATGAGGTGAACTCTGCAGATGCCTCAGAGTTTCAGGTGGATTTCTATGTTGGGTCTGCCAGGAGCAGCAGTGCAAGGAAAGGCAGAGGTGTGACTTTGTCTTCTGCTTGTCCTTGTGCCCCTGGGGGTCACAGCCCCATGGGTGTAGAAGAGGAGCCTCCAAGAGCAGTGATGCTGCTCTGCTCAGCTTCATGTGGGAGGAAAAACCTTCCTAACTCCAGTGTCCCTTTGTCTTGCTCAAGCTTGTCAAGTCCAGAGAGGCCAGTGAGATATGACACTGCATGACCAAAGTGGGGCTTTTTTATGAGGCACTACTGAGTGGAACCATCTGGGCTAGGAGAAGACCACGTTTCTGAAATGAGCCTTTAGGAACACTAAAGTTAAGTGCCTGTCTGGGACACCATGCTGAATGAAGGGCACTCACAGCTGCATGGGTTTTATGGGTTTATTTTATCTCTGATGACAAAAAAAAAGTATTAGTCACGTGGTTCCTCAGGAATTCCAAGCCACTGTTTAAAAGTGGCGTTGCCTGTGTTCTCAGCCATGCTGGAACAGTTCCCCCAGCTTGCTGACTGCTCATGGACAGTGATTTACAGTTACCTCACTTTTCTCTAAACCTAAAGGCAGTCCCAAGTTATACTTCAAGAACAGAAACGTCAGTATCCTAAGTTCCTTGAGTGAACACTTGCACTGCCATCCCTCTAATACCCAAGGGCTCAGCCCTGGGGCTCCTGAGGTCTCAGTCCCTTGGAAGGTGTGCTGCTCACTTGCCTGAGGGCTGAGGGAATCTGCTCCTCAAAAACCAATGCCTTTCTGGAAAGCTAAATACAAATTTGGGAGCATAACTTCCACTATGTCAATGGTGCATCTCAACTTAGGCAGTTAAAACTTCCTTTGCTGTAAAGTCTGTGTTTAGTTTTGTTTGTTAGGGTTGTTGTTTGTTTTTTTTTTAAATTTTGTTTTATGTTTTTTTGTTGTTGGGACCTTTTTTGTTTGTTTGTTTTGTTTTGTTTGTTTTTTAAGTTTTATTTTATTTTATTTATGCCCCATTGGGGCAGCTTCCTTAAGTACTTCTAGGGGCCTGGTTCCGGTTTCCAAAGTTAAATCTGATTTCTGTGTTAGGAGGCAAGCTCTTTCCTTCAAGCACTTTTATGTCCCATTGGGCAGCTTCCTTAAGTACTTCCAGGGGCCTGGTTCCGGTTTCCAAAGATAAATCTGATTTCTGTGTTAGGAGGCAAGCTCTTTCCTTCAAGCACTTTTCTGTGTGACAGACCTGCAAAGGGGCAAATTGGATTCAGTAGAATTTCTAAACTTGTAACCTATTTCCTGTGCTTTTCATTCATTGAGATGAATCTTTGAGAAAGAACCCTCATGGTAAAATATTTACCAGGGCATTACATTGACTAAGCTCTTACAGTGCAGGTGTGAAGAAAGAAGTTCTTGCTCCTTAAACACTTTCCAATCCATGTCCTGTTCAATGTCTCTGTTTCAATAGACTCCAGAAGCTTTGCATGATATTTATTCATCTGATTTACTAACAGTCTCCTAAAGTTTAAACAGAGACAGAGAGAGAAGATAAGCTGGACTCAGCCTTGCAGGAATCAGATTCATGCCAACACTGCCACTTCTATTTGACTTTATGCACATCATTTAGTATTTGTGGTTTCCCTGCCTGCCAAACGCAGATACTGATTCCTCTTTTTTTTCCCTATCCATACTTGTATAGGTGGCAAGTTTGGACAGGAATCAGCTCCTCCTCTGTCTGTGGTTTACCTCACACACAAATGAGTCTCTGATCTTAGGGAGAAGCAACCTTCTAGTTGCTTCTGTAGCCACAAAATAATAAATGGCTCCGACCTGCTCAGTGAAAAATGCAACCTTTGGATTACATCAGTGAAAATAAAAATCCACTGCAGTTCACAAGTCAAAAACTGCTGATAGTGTTTAGCACCACTGTCTGTCATTGAACATCTGGCATTCATCACTGCTCTCCTTTTCTTTCCACTGCTGTATTTTATCCCATCTATTGGAGGTTTCTTGGTTCAGTCTGTATAAATTATGGCTGCCTCTCAGTCAGGGTAGTGGAACCACTACAGGCTGCAAGGTAAAGGAAGGAAAAAGAGGTAGACTTTTAAAAGTCTTTAAAGGAAAGTGTCTGCTCCCCTTTTTCTCCATGTCCCTGTACACAGACACTACTGGACAGTATTACTGTGAGATATTCTTGCTATTGAAGGGAGATGGAATCGTTTCCAAAATTGGCAAATATCTGTACCAGTCCTAGTTATGAAGGCAGAAAGCAGGAGAGGAATTGGAGCTGGAGTGAACACCTGCTGCCATTGTTGGAAAGACCAGAATTGACTGCTCTGGAACAGCCCTTCAGCAGCTTTATAATGAATTAGGAAAGCAAACATTACTTAATATGAGACTTCCTGGGCAATGGCTTTGATGTGTTATTTTAAAACTAAATTACTCTTATTGCAGAAATTTAAGTTGCTATTAGGAAGAATAATACTGAAGGTGCTAGGTAAACACAGGTCTGTTAAAATTGGCCAAAACAGAATACTTTTACTATTTTTTTCCTCAAAAAACCATTCACTGCCATCTCAGTGTCCATTCCATTTGGTGATCCTGAGCAGTGCTGGCAGGGCAGTGAGCCCTAGCAGCGTTCTGAAGATGAATTTCTGATGGAGACATGGATCCTCCACCACCCTCGTGTGAAACACTCCCAGCTGCATGTGTGTGTTGCCTGCCAAAGCCAGGTGCTCCCACGTGTGCTCAGTGTCACAGCCACATGCCCACCAAGCAGGTGCCAGCTTTAGGAGCTAGAGGTGGTATTTGCTCCTTCTGGAAACACAAGGACACCTCAGTCCCACGCTGCTGGCAGTTAGGGAAGAAAAGCCCATTTCCCTCTGTATGGAGAGGGCTGTTGCAGACTGCCATCTCTGTCAATCTCAGACCTTCATGGGCTGAAGCCAGAGGGTCTCTGTTAGAGACAGCTGTCATGTTTTCAGTTCTAGGGACAGCTTGTATTGTTGAGGACTTCATTGTACTTAAAATAGCAAGAACGCCCCATGTCATTATGTGTGCTCTTCCTGCTTGTCTTGCTTTTCCCTTCTATTTAGTCTCGTGTCAAAAGTGTGTCTGAAGTGTGTTTGATTTAATACCAGGTTGACTGAAATGGGAATAAATTATTGCTGCTGTTGCTGGTTGTCAGCTCAGCCTTCTCTTCCTGCAAAGCGTATTGCATTCCTGATTTCCCATTGTTTTTCATTTATGTTCCTGTGGTTTTATCCTGGTACTCGCTGCAGACTCGCAGATTTCAGCTCGGCAGCCAGATCAATCAAGCAGTGGGTGTCCTGGTCAGCATCTGCATGGAGTGGAGGTGACAGGCCCAGCTCACAAACAGAGGGGCTGGGCTGTCCTTCGGAGCAGGTCCTGGCTGGCACTGCAGGCGCCCAGCGCTTGGTGGGAAAGGCCAGGCAGTGCCAGGAGCCACAGCTTCTCTCTGAAGTCAATGAACAGGTTCAGTCCTGGTGATTTGTTCTTTGTAGTCTGTTGCTGGCAATGAATGTCCTGGTGAAGGTGCTACTGCTTGGCAAGGCTGAAATGAGAGACACAGGTCTAATGTTGCACAAATGGCTTTGCATTAGGTACTGCAAGAAAAAAACAACCCACAAGTACAGTGGGATGGGTGATGTGATGTTGATTTACTCTCAGTTTTTTGCTGTCTGCTCTAGCTCTCTGCCTGTCCCGTTGCTAGCAGAATATTTATTCTGTTTTCTCTTCTCCTTGTAGAAAATTTTACTACATCACTCTGCTGAGAGACCCCGTGTCTCGTTACCTCAGCGAGTGGCGTCACGTCCAGCGAGGAGCTACTTGGAAAACCTCCTTGCACATGTGTGATGGCAGGACACCAACTCCTGAAGAGCTGCCCTCGTGCTACGAGGGCACGGACTGGTCGGGCTGCACGCTGCAGGAGTTCATGGATTGCCCCTACAACCTGGCCAACAACCGCCAGGTGAGGATGTTGGCCGACCTGAGCCTAGTAGGCTGCTACAACATGTCCTTCATCCCAGAGAACAAGCGAGCGCAGATCCTGCTGGAGAGCGCCAAAAAAAACCTCAAAGACATGGCCTTCTTCGGCCTGACAGAGTTCCAGAGAAAGACTCAGTACCTGTTTGAGAGGACTTTCAACCTGAAGTTCATCCGGCCCTTCATGCAGTACAACAGCACGCGGGCGGGCGGCGTGGAGGTGGACAACGACACCATCCGCAGGATCGAGGAGCTCAATGACTTGGACATGCAGCTCTATGACTATGCAAAGGACCTCTTCCAACAGCGCTACCAGTACAAACGGCAGCTGGAGAGGATGGAGCAGAGGATAAAGAACCGGGAGGAGAGGCTCCTCCACCGGTCCAACGAAGCGCTTCCCAAGGAAGAGACCGAAGAGCAAGGACGTTTGCCCACTGAGGACTACATGAGCCATATTATAGAGAAGTGGTAGCCTAGGCAGACTTTTATATTAATGATATTCTAGGGTTTCCATATAAGAGATCGTGGAAGTAAAAATTACAAAAAAAACCAAAAAAAAACAAAAAAAAACCCAAAAAAAAAACCTGACAAAAAATATTTTATTTAAAAGCAAGTCTGTAAAACAGAAGATAGATTGCTTCCTTAAGCATAGGGTCTTTTTACTGTTTCTTACAAGACCGATGAGATTCTTAAAAAAATCAATAAATACATAAAAATAAAAAAAGGGTCAACATTCTAATGCAGAGACAAAAAATGCACAAATGCAGTTACCCATGCGTAAGGCCAAATACAGAAGAATGTTTCTTATCCTCACGATTTTAACACAAACGGCAGAAGTAGGATTTTCAAAAATCTCTTTATCCCCTGAGCCTAAAGATACATAATCAAAAAACAAGGAAACAGAGGTTTTCTTTTGTGGGGGAGGTGGGATGGGAATTGCACTGTTTGTCAGTAACTGATAATGGTGACTGAGCTGAGGATGGGCCATCCTGTCAGGCTGGGATCTGAACACACAGGCAGTCACAGCATTTCAGCTGGCAGCCACTGCCAGAAAGTAGAGCACCATAAAAAATAAAAAGAAGAAAACCAGCCAGAGGATGAGAAACATTAAAGCAAATTGACTATGGCCTGGGAAATGTACTTAGCACAGGGGTTCTGATTCATTGCACTGGTATCACATATACATACGCAGCTTCATCAGAAAAAGAATAGGAATTCATACACAAAACTCCCAGCTTTGTTTCCCAGACAGGTCCCAAAACAAGTTAAAAGCCAACCATAGACTCAAACCTGCATTCACATGTTGTCCTGTCAGCTTACACCACTACCACTCAAGCCACTGTCAGTGTTGTGTGTTAGCAGCACACGAAAACCCTATCCTGCATACTACAAAAAAAAAAGGAAGAAAAATTTAATTACTCCTTCATAAATCCACACAAAATTCAGACCCTGCAAATGATAAGTCACTAATGGGAATGTGACGAGGGGGTGATTTTGTTTTGTTTGTTGCTATGTGAAATACTGACCCTGAATAAGCATACAGACCTTCCCTAGCCATATTATTTCAGTTATTTTTACTTGCTTTTATCAAGAGGTAATGGGCATCAGCCTGCTCCCAGTGAAGTCACTAGAACTGATTTAAGTGGGAACAGGATGGGGCTCTCTTCCAGAGCTGTGAAAATTTCTGACTATGGGTCTAAATTAATTATGAGACAGTGCACATTGTCTTTTGGCAGGGTGCCTGTTCTGCAGCCCTTACTTTAAATGAACAAGCTGTGTTCATAAAACTGGAAAGGGGAATCATGGATAGTGTTTTTTTAGTCTCAGACCACTCTCAAAGCAGAACTCTTTCAATGCTGTTTTTTAGGGCCTCATGTAAGTTTAATCCTCCAGTGTGGGGACAGTCTAACCAGGTTCTGCTTACTGACTTTTGAGTCATAGAACAACAATGACTTCTCTAATTCCTCTTTCCACTCACCAAATTAAAATATGGCATATTTTTTTGCTGTTGCAAGCACTTCTTTGTTTGGCTGGAAGCATGGAAATGAAGCAGTTTTTGCCTGGTTCATGTCTCACTCCGTTATTACTCGACCTGTAAGACCTGAACCAGCTATTGTTTAGGGTAAACCCTGAACCAAATAGAATAGGATTTGATTTTCAAAGGCCACATTAACTGCAAATCAAGTTGAAATCACTGGAGAGGCAGAGCGGTGATGCACTTCACTTTAGCATGTCATTTTTACAGCATCCCTTTCCCATCACACAAGTCCACTGACATGCTGCTTGGTTTGGGTTTCAGTTCTTTCTCTGCCTCTGTGCACTGGTTCCAGCAGTTTCAAGTTCAGACTGAGTTTTGTAAAGGAGGGGATTCTGGGGGGATACACTTTGCTTTTGGAGACATTTTTCTCCTGAAGAGCAAAGACAGCTAAAAAACTTGAGAAAACAGAAAGAGTACTTAGGGCTCAAACACAATTCTGTTACAGCGCTGAGCCAAAGTCCACCAGAGTCACAGGGTGCCTTTCCTGTTGATTTCAGGTGGATTCTGGTCAGGTCTGATCCTGCAGAGTGCTCAAGCACACACTCAGCTGTCTGCAGGCACAGCAGGACGTTGTCAGCCCCAGTTTGGCTGGTTCAGTACGTGCTGGTGCTGTCCATGTCTTTAAGGCTGTGCCAGTGCTTCTGCCACAGAATGGCTCCTGCTCCCAGAAATGTGTAGCCTGCCCATAAGCATTTCCTCCTGGGTGAAAACTGGGAAGGAAAAGGAAGCAGTGTTTGGTGGTTGGCTGGGGGAAGAGAAGGTATTACGAGTCCATTTGCTCATCTCTGAATCCCAAGACAGGCAGAAGCTATGTCTGCGAGCTGCCAGCACTTTCACATTTTGCTGTAACCACAGAAAACATCTGTATTTTTAAAATGCAGCTTTGCAGGCTGTTCACCCACAAAACCGGTGCACGAGATACAAAAAACAACTTTTGCACATGCACAGTTCCCACCTTTCCCCAAAATCTTTTCAGGGTGTGTCTGTGTGGTGGATCCATAACGCACAAGGGGTTCCTGCAGCTCATCCCTGCTTGTGTCTCACTGCTGGGGCTGTGGGGATTCACACCAGTATTGTGAGTAGGCTGTGTCTGCCCGAGCTCTTCCTGTCTTACAGGCTCTGAGTAACCAGCTGGGTGTTAATGAATCTGTCTGCAGGGTTGTCTAAATCAGAAGCAGCCTGTGACCTTAGAAGCGTGTCAGTAGAAGACCTTACTCCAACATTTTTTTCGTAATGTATTGCAGTAACAAGCAAAAGGAATGAAATTATATTGAAAACTGTCTTTAGTTAACAGTTTCATTTCAACCACAAAAGGAGGGCTGACCTCAGTACTGAGGCAGAAGTTTCTAGATCTGAATCCTGCACCCATGCAAATGCCTCAGTTTTTCCACCTCTACACTAGGAGTAACAAATTTATGGACTCTAAAAGGTATGAAAAGTATGGGGCACTTTGAAACAGATTCTGAGTAATGGGAATGAACAGAATCACTCAAAAGCCATCCCTCACCCTGACTGGTCTGCTTCTGGCTGTTAATTGATTTGAAGTGCTGTGTACCTGAACATGGGTTGCAGGACATACCTGGCACTGTCTTCTTCCTTTAGTGGGGGCAAGGGAACTTTTTTAACATAATGTGAATGTAGTTTTTTGTGATTTATATGTACCACACTTTGAGGTGGTACTATTTCTTTTCTTTTTAGGACTGATATTTTGATGCTACAATAACATGAAAAGTGTGTGTGTAGTTTTAAAATGAATGAAGAACAACAGCTTTAAGGCACTCTGGCAGAAGTAGTGGCCAGATTGTAGATTCTTGTTCAGTATCTGCCCCTTTCTTCCAAAATGTTTTTGCTGTGACTTCCAGACACACCAAAAGCTTCTTCAGGACATGAAGTGTTTCTTCAGGGGGTCTGTCAGTGCATCGTGATCCAGGTCAGGTTAGGAGAGTGCTGGGAGCAGTGCAGGCAGGACAGTGCAAGATTGGACTTGTCTCTTAGGGACTTGGTGACTTCTTAGGGCTAAGAAGTCAATTTGCCTTTAGTCACCTAAACAGTGTAAACATCACTGCTTGGTGGCTGTTCTTGCTGAAGAAAACATTTTCTTGCTGGTTTGTGTCATCCTAGTTAGCTCTGTTGAAGGAGTTTGCCTCATCCAAGGTTTTCCAGACAGTCAGGTGCCGCCTTGTACCCTATCCAGGTCACAAAATGCAGGATTGACTGGTAAGGCTGCCAGTCCAGGCTATCACAGGGTTCAAAGTCATAAACAAAAAAAATAAGTCATCAAAGGGTCAGTGTGAATTTCTGGCTTGTCTGAATTTCTCCCTTTATGCCCAACATTTTTTAATAAATGAGGAGCACTTCAGTTGATGTTTTTGCACCCCACAGTCCCTTGCTTACAAAACTGGGGTGACAATGAAAGCAGCATAAGGAAGATCCCATAAGGTTTTGAATCCTGTCTCCCAGGGCTGTCCTGTTAGAGCAAAAAAGAGCAGTACAGTTGCTGGGAGTGTGACCAAGGCAGGAGGACTGCCCATGGCTGTACCGTCAGGAGGGTTTCCCTCTGAGCCAGTCAGGTCACTTCAGAGAGCAGCAGGCAGCTCCGGAAGGTGATGATAGCATCACAGCACAGGGCCTGGCCAAGGTTCATGCCTTGGGCTTAAAAGCATCTCCAGTGTCTCTGGGTGTTCAGAGTTACCCAGACCCCACAGACTTCTGCAGAAGCCATCACAAAAAAGGGAGGAATTCATCCCCAACCTGTGCTTAAAGCTGTATTCCCAGAGCTGTAGCTTGGCACGCAGCCGACACTGCCTGCTGGACTCGGCTCACAGGGCTGGCTGTGTTCTCTCTTCGTTCTCTTTTCACTTTCACTAACACCAGCAGCTGATGTTCCAGGGGCAAAGTGAGCATGGCACCCGCTGCCTGAGCTGGGCTGTTCCAAGCCTTTGCAGCACAGGTCAGTGAGCAGCAGCTCGGGTGAGCCAGGGCACACAGTCCCAGGTATCCATGGCTGCTTGTTTTAGCCCATCCACAGGAATTCTGCCCAGGTGAACGCAGCCCTGATGAGCACATGGGTGTTAAAGCCTCTGTCGTCCCAGCTCTGTAACTCTTAGCCATGCAAGCTGAAAAAAAAGAGTCTGTCTCCCCAGAGCCCCACAATTCCCCCTCCCTGTTCTGTTCCCCCACATGTCAGTTCTGGAGACTGGATTGAGAGAGTTGTACTATAATGAATAATTTTATATTCAAAAGGTTTACTGAGCATGATTTGTTTTGTACATATTGGAATATGATTTAATTTATTTTTATTGCCCCTTTTAATCTTTTTTTTTCCATAAGGAGAAGACAAAAATCCCCATCCTCTCTCAATGTGAAGTTCCTGTGTGTTTATGTGTAGTCTGCCAGTCAAACACACAACAGGCAGAGGATTTCTCACCATCCCTCCAGCTATCTGATTTTGGTTTTCATTGTCATTTCCATTCATCTGGGACTTTGCTTATATTGTCTCTTCTTTCCTCTCCGCTGCACAGTCTGCACAGAGCAGGGAGAGGTCAGTGCAGGCAGGATTTTCATTTTCTTCCTCTCCCCTTTCTTGTGTGCTTTACTTACCAAGGAACTCAGTTCCTTCAGGAGTTGTGTGACTGAGGGTAAAAAAATACAACTGTCCCCCCACCTGCCTTCCATTCTCCATGTTGTAGATCAGACAGATTCAGCTTCTCTGAAAGTGATTGTGGCTGGACTCATTCCATTGGGCTGAATGTGTATGGTTTGCACTTTCCCCCCACTTCAGGAACTTAAAAACAACAAAAAAATAAAAGGCAACTGTTTTAACTTGAGCCGAGTAACACTTAAAGCTTTATATATTTATTTATAGCATCTTACAAAAAGTGTTAAAAGGTTTTTTTCTTCCACAAGAAAAATAAAATTTTTAAAAAATCATCTAATTGTTTTTGTCTAGATCAAGGATGAATGTTAGCAGACGAAATAAACCCTAAAACTGAGCATCTGTGGTGTGTGTTGTCCTTGCATTGGCCTTTGATGCTGTTTCAGTGTAATCTGTCTTGCCTGTTTATTACAGAGAGATAAAGCTGCCAGTGCAGCTGATGGAGAATATTTGTTTTCTGCTACAAAAACAGACTCCTGGACAAGAAACATTTAAGCAGAAACTGCAGTCTGTTGGTTCCTATTGTTACATTTGAGCCAACATTACAAAAAGCCCTTAAACCTCATGGAACCTGTCATCTTTTAAAAATTACATTTGATACTGTACAGGCTTCTTAGTTTTCTTTTTCAGAGGCACTGCAACAAGCACATTTGCAGGCAATAAATAGAGGTTGCTACTCCAAATACTGTGGACTAATTAAGATAATTGTTTTTGTTTGTTTCATGCTCAGAAATACTTTGTTCTGTGAAAACATTTCTGCAGCTACTGGGCTGAGCCGTGTCCTGTTTTGCACAGTGGAAGTGAGTTAGGGGTAAGAAGATGGTGATAAAAGTGTTTCACAGCATCCCAAGTGAGAACAGCAAGATATTTATGGAGGTGTACAGAGTAACAGAGCTGTGATTTTACCAAAGCATCACCACAGCTCCCTCTTGGAGAGAGGGAGGGGCTGTGCAGGTGCTGCTGGAGGACTCAGGTGAGGGATGGTGTGAGAGTGGAGCATGGACAGACAACTCTTCAACTAATTAAAGTTGAAAAGAGGGTACACTCATTACAGCACTGGACAAATGGGGAGTAACCTACCGAAGGCATGTGTAAAAAAGTCACAACTCCTGCTCTCTGTTTATCCAAAAAAGGTTTTACATAGTCAGATGGTTTCCAGGATGATTTCTATGATGCCTGTCACACAAACATTAGCTCTCACCTCATATTATAATTAGCTGAGTGTTCATTACAGCGGCACAATTTTCCCCTTTAATTGGGTCAGTGGGCTTCTGGGGAGGAAGCAAGACCTCTTCCTCATGGTAAACTCCTCACCTGTGTCAAGCTGGCAGGACTCCTTAGCCTGCTGGTCCCAGCCCAAACCTCCTCTCACTTTTAGAGGCCAGTGGTATTTATGGCTCCTGCACCCTTACATACTTCATGTGTCACCTGTCATTCCCAGCCTTCTTTCAGTTATGTGATATTGATTCCACCTGTTATCAATCCTTGTTAAGCTCCAGTCACAGTACATGATCTTTGCTAACTACATTTCTGGCTTAACCCCTTGACTTAAGGGAAACACCTGAGATCCCAGTGGGGCTCAGCTGTGAGGGGAGGGGACAGAGAGACAGAGAGTTCAGCTGTGAGGGGAGGGGACAGACAGACAGAGACCTCGGGTCAGTGCTTCTGGCTGTGCTGGTGCCACTGCCCAGGAACTCTCATGTCCTGCTGAGCTGCAGGAGGAATTTCCCTGGGCCAAGCCAAGGTGCAGGCACAGCTCGTCCTGCTGGGTGGGAGCCCCCCTGCTCCTGTTTCAAGGCACTTCTTGTCTCCTCTTTGACCTCTCCAAAAGCCACCAAGATGCTCTGCCATAAGAAGTCTGGGCAGGTAAAATGTTTTAATTTGCACGTGGTGTTCCTACCCCAGCTTTCAAATGGTTCTTGCTCTCCATCCTAGGAGCCTCCAGGAAAAGGAGAGCAGGGAGGATGGAGAGCTAGCAGGTGGAAGGGCGGATTCTGCCATTGCAGAAGGGGAAAGGAGCAGAATGGATGCTTGAAGGAGGGTTAAAAGAAGCAGAGACATTACTGAGGGAATAACCTCTGGAGTTTTGGGGTTTTTTTCTTGGTTACACTGATAACTACTCAGTTTCTTTATTTTTGTGTCGAAAGTGTTCCTGTTTCTGTTCTACCTGGTGATCTTACACTCTCCAGCACTGCCTCTGGGGGATGTGCTGCCTCAGATTAGTTGGAAGTGCCCTCCTTTGCCTCCTGCAAAGGGGGATTTCTTGTTCCCCTAACAATGAACAGCCCCTGGCTGCTCTGCTGCCCCAGGTGACAGCCTGCTCTTCCCGGATGGAAAAGCTGATCCTGACTCTACTGTCTCAGAGGAGGTGGTGCTGAGATCTTGTCAGAGGCTCTTTTGTTTCTCTGGCTCACAAACTCACACAGAGCTGCTTTAACTCTTTCATAACACCTTTAATAACCCTTGTCTGGAGGACAAGGAAAACCAAAGTAAATCTGCTTTAACTCTGTAATGCCAAAGCTTTCCCACACTGATCTTTGGGTCATGCAGGTTCCCTTTTTGCCTTTCTGAGGATCCATGTGTGGGTCCTTGTAATGTCACAGAGCAGAAAGAGGGACGTAGGTCCTTGCAGAGTTAAATGTGTATCCAGAGGTGACTGCATGTTTCTGTGGATTTTGCAAAAGTGGAAAGATATTAGGACAGTCCCAGGCCTTGCAGTTTGTAACGCTTTGTGATGCAGTACTTCAGTGGCACTTAGAGTAGGGATGTAAATAAACTTATACACAGATAAAATAAAATAAAATTATGTTTTTTCTGTAGTTGGAAGTGTCCACGGCTGATTTGGGCACAGCTCCCCTCTTTGCTGCTGGAGGAAACCAACGCACATTCATACATAAGCTCAAAAGAATATATTGTGGACTTAACAGTAAAGCAGTTGGAGTTTTACTATAGCAGTTACTTCATAAACTTCAAATAAAGGGGGTGTAGCCAATGAAATATTCACTAATTGAGCAGTGTTTAATAGATCATTGCTGTGTATCTCTTAAAGCAATCAGAGGTTCAAGTGGGGAAAGCTGCTCCAGCAAGGCCCTGTCTGCTTTAATTGATCTGGGAAGTAGGTGGCTTGGAAAAGAAACCATGCATGTTCAGATTTTGCAAGCTTCTCTGAGCCTAAAATAAGTCTGTGTTTATTGGTCAGACCACACTATAGCACAAGCAGGAGCTTTTGTATGTGATACTGTTTGTTAGGGCTTAGAAATTTTGTCCAACATCAATTTGCTCATTTCTCTCTTTTGGTGATGCTTTCCTCATAGGCTTTTTTTACTCCTGAGTGCTTTCATGTCCCTGCCTTACTCTGGCCCACTGCTACTCCTGCTTCACAGAAGGTTTGTCCCCAGAGATGGAGGGCATGCAGTATCTCAGACAGGATTCTTGTGACCTTCGCACAAGGAACTGCAGAACTGAGATGCTTTTAAATCAACATCCAGCCAACAACACAAGGGAAAAGTGGAATACCTATCCCCTAGGAGCTGGGAATGGATGAGAGGCAGCAGTGCTGTGCAAATGTTTAATGAACTAGATCTTATTTATGTATTTATTTTGTCCTTCCCCACTAATATATTCTATCAGATTGGAATCCAGATGTTTGTGCAATGAATGAGTAATAGTGATAAATAATAAGCATCTAATTCAAGTGGTTTAACAGACTCTGGTTATTACTGGATTGCATTTAAAAGTTCCTTATTGACTTAAACTCCTCAGTTGTGCTGTAAATGGTAAAGAAATTCCACATGGCCTAATCTAGTTAATTCAGGCTGGATACCTGATCCTCAAATGAATATGTGGTAATCACTCATCAGTTTTCTGGCACAGGCAGTGACAACACATGTAAATCATACAGCCTCTGTGAGATGGTAAATAACTTTCCTGTAGAGCCCTTTCCGTGGGCTTGGATTATTAGTGCTGGACATTGTTTTCTGAACAAGAGCTCACAGCCTGATTGGTGAATGCTCGGGTGTTTTGCATCCCCCATCAGCACTGGTTTCTACTCATCATATGTTCTTTTCTTTCCTTCCTATCAAACATTTTGATGCTAAGTGAGAATTTATGAACTGAGCCCAATTAGCCACAACATCACGTGGGCTTTTAAATTTTACTGGGTTAGTGAGTTATCATTCCTTCTGTGTTACTGGCAATGCTAAAGCCATGCTGCTGCTGGAGTCCATTAATGGAGGCTTTGCTCCCTGGCTGGAGAACCTGTGGCTTGGCAAACTGCTGCTGGGAGAGGTGTGCAACCTTCTGGACCCAGGGATCTGCTGCTTGTTAGGTTTTTGCTCGAGTGCCAAGTCATGCAAAGAATTAAGGGTGTGTGGTGTTCTATTTTGAGGGCAGTCTGGCCTTCTGAAACAGCTAAAATGACCAAACTCAGCTGGTTTGGTGGTGAAAACAGACACAGGGGTCCTGTTGGAGGAGAAACATTTTGACAGGAGCAGCCTAGCTGATGTTATCAAGGGACCCTTCATCACAGCTGTTCTGCAGAGCTTTTCATGTGCTTATTCTGAATTCTGTTGTTTTCTTGTGGTTTTTTTTTCTGAATTCTGTCATTTTCTTGTGTTTATTCTGAATTCTGTCGTTTTCTCTCCCCGGGCAAAGCTTGTCAAAGGAAAGTGCAAAACTGAAGTCATGGCTCTCGTGGGCACAGCCTCACCTCCAGCTGTTCGTGTTGCCCTTAGAGAAAGACACCCATAACCCTTTGGAAATGTGTTTAACCTGAGGGCATGCCCAGGCTTTTCTTGGCAGTGTCTCAGTAATTTGGGGTCATTTTGCTGTCTGTGTGCCCCTGTCCTGGTGCGTGGTGTGGCTGTGCCAGGCGGTGCCAGGCCCGAGCATGGCTGCCCTCTCCAGGGAGGGACAACCCCGGGACAAACTGCCAGGACAGCACTGAGACAGGACGAGCCTCAGGGGACAAAACTCTGGCCAAGCTGAGCTTTGTGCTGTGGGTATTTTTGGGGACAGCAATGTCCTCCAGCAGGGCTGGTCTGCCAGCCAAGCTCTGCAGATGTGTGCATGCTGTCTGGGTTTTTATATCTACATTTAAGGACTTTCCCAAGAAAATCAGACCATACACCCGCAGGGACGGTGTGGGGAGGAACAATTACAGCAATAAATAAAGATTTCTGCTGGCATGCCAACCCAACAGGCTTTACTGTCCCTTCAGCAAGGGATCTGCCATTTGTTAGCAACTGCTTGTTAGGGCCTTTCTGCTCGAAGCCTGTTCTTGATTTTGTGTATATTTGACTCATCCTGACAAGAGAAAAGAACTCTATTAGTAGAGGCACT